CACTCACGACCCCGTTGTGCACTGACACGAGCAGCAAAAAAGCCGCGCAGTGTGCGACGCCGGAGTGTCCGGGGGGGAAAATGGTGGGGTTGAGAGGTCCACTCGTCTTAAAGTGGCCAAGTTTGGACAACACTGTCTTAGGTCTTTACATAATCCTTTGTGCACAAAGCTTTGGGATGCAGTGATGATCAGAGATGCACTTTTTTGGATAACTAAGTTGGCTTACTGTCTTCATCTGTGTTTAAAATCAGAGCAAACCCTGCTCTGTCGTATCAGTTTGCAGCTGGTCAGTGCCCGGATGAGAAACCCTCTAAAAAGTGTTTAATCCTGGAAGAGAATGTATTTATTATTTCAAGGAATAACCCCCCTCCCCGTCCATCCGCGGGGTTATGGTGAAAAATCAGTGAACCCAACCCTTGGTCCTGATCCCATTCAAAAGGGGAAACGTGAAATTAATACATGAAGGGGGGATGCACTTTTTAAATTGACTAGATAAAAAGAAAAAGAATCCACAACATTATAACAGGAAAAAGAAAGAAAGCTAAAAAAGGAACAGAAACATACAGGGCGTATATTCGAAGATATGCACGCATATATAAAGCTGTACAATAAACATTTCAGTGAATGAAATGGAATAAATGAATGGATAAACAGAGAGGTTCAGTTTGTGAAAAGGTTGAGTTTCCGGTCAGCCCACGTGAGGGTCAAGAGCATTGGGGGGAGAAGCCCCCCGGCCAATTGAGGGAGGGGCTACCAAGAAATTTTAGGCACCAACATAGCGTCTTTTCAGGGATCCTGATCAGTATGCAGAGAAAGGGCGACCTGCAGCAGAGCACAAGGCTCGTGGCTTCACCTCCAATACGGTGTCGAGCCTTGTGGGTGTCGACCGGAGGCTGGCGGAGATGTGGGCCAAGCCCACCTCTTGGGTTTAATCCGCCAACGAGGGAATTCGCCTTGCAGTGAAGAAACCGAGCAACGGCAGCGAAGCAGTCCGGATTTACAGCCAGTTGCTTGCCTTGTTTTGAAGCTGAAGCTGAGAAGCCTTTTTCATGAGCCAGCGGTTCAGAAAAAAATAATAATAATAAT